CAACAGGCATTCTGCAGAATGGGCGACAGTTGACAATGTTAGAACAAAGGTCGTATTATCCCTCTATTCACTGGAAACCATGTTTAATGTATTTAAAGGTAATTGTGAACCCAAGTATCAATGCTTGTTCTGGACTGGTGGCGGGTCCCAAAGGTAGGGTCTGCTTCTGTTCATTTTTTCATGAAGAAAATACCACGCTTGTTTGTGGGGGAACAGCTGCTTTCGATACAAAATAATTGCTTCGTAGAAAAAGGGTTCATTTCAGTCTTGTAATTGGCTAAGTCTCGGCGGGCGTTGTGGATGCTGCTTTGTGTCTTGCCTTCTTAATCCATCACTGCAGGTTTTGCCCAGCAAAATTTTTTTCTGTGTTTTTGTCTTTTGACTAGCTTTTGAAATTCATTGCAAGTGGTGTATTAGATAACTCCCAATGCAGGGGGTTCCCTTGTCTCCACCACAAGCAGACTTTGTAGATCGTAAAGAACACTTTCCAGATGGGTTTGAACTACAAAAGAATAAATGGTAGCTTTGCTTGGGCTTGGGAACGGTCGAAGTAGTTAGGTCATTCCTCTTATTGCACCCCTTAAACAAGTGCTTCTTTTGCCTCTTATCCATTTTCAAGCTTGTATTCACATGTGCAACTATTTTTAAGCACGGCTCTGGTGTTAATATAATATTGTAATTTGAGGAAAAACGTTTTTGAAAAAGTAAGTAAAGCTCGGGAAGATTATGCAGCAGGTAAATGAGTTTTCCAGAGATGGTTGGAAAAGTTTCGAAGTGGAGACGATTCATCGTAAGATGAAAAGACAGAATGAAATCTGACGCCATTGATTTGAACATTCCGAGTGAATTGGTCAATATTTTTTTATAGGGATGTGATCAGAATCAAACCATTTTAAAATGATTTAATGGAGATACACGAATGTTTGAAGCCGAGCAGTTGTAAGAGTTCGAAACCTCTTTACTATTGTGCCCGTGTTGCACAAATCGCTACCTGGAAGCTGAATGAGTTCAGAGCTACGCAGCCATGCTGCTTTTCATTTCTTCAAACTAGTCATAATTTGTTCTCATTTCAGGTAATTTTTATCGCAGTCTTAAAACTAAAGCGCATAAGTGTCAGCGATAGGTCAAGAATGCCATCTAAGGTGTTGCCAGTTCCAGAACTTTAGAGTGNCTTGAAATGAATCCGATAGTTGGTGCAGTAGCCCGAGGAAGGTGAATGTTGTAATTCCAGTTCTGACTAATCTTTGGGACATCAGCGATCCGGAATTTTGAAAAATTCTCAGCACCGTTGTGCTTATATTCCACAGCACATCCTTGCATAAAAAAAGAATAGGCAGCAAATAAAAACTGACTGCAATGCAATTTCTGAGAATTAAGCAGTTACGTTTTACCTGGAACACGTAAGGAGCAGTTAATGGAAAGCGAGTACTACCACGTTTATGTCTCTTGCTGCTCGACTATTCGCACTTCTCCTAGAATTTCTTGACAATAGAGACGGATTGTAATCGCACTCCGGCCAGATACAGGGAGTCGTTTACTCGCTGAACCCGCTTACTTCTGAAGATAAGAATGTGATCGTATTTAATCCCAGTTCGCCTCTTGGAATCGCATTACGTAGCCTCGTAACTACACCCTTCTTATTTGCTCACACACATGAATGATGTGTTTGATTGCTTGTACTGTACGTTTCGGTGATAGTGGAAGGATTTCGGTATACCGCTACCACGCACTGACTGCTTTTTTTGAGATGGAATATTATTTATCTTCACTGTTATTACTGTAAATCTTACCTTTTGCCATTATTACAGAACGTTAAATTCTCGCAGAAATAGTGAGATAAGCGTATAGCGCAGTGGTGAACGGTGCTTTGTAATACAATAGGATCGATTGCTGGTTTAATAAAGTCCTTCGAGCTAACCAAGCCTTCCATTCCTCACGAAGCAGCAAAATGGTACGAGACTCATTTGAAAGGATAGCAGCACTGACTCGATACATCGAGAGCGACGGTATGTCATTCTGTAAGCCAAATATGCATTGAATAACCTCTACGATGCTTGAAGAAAATGCGTGGTGCATTCCTCAGTGATGGATTAAGTGAGTAACCGCTAGTTGACTTTTTNTCTTATTTGCTCACACACATGAATGATGTGTTTGATTGCTTGTACTGTACGTTTCGGTGATAGTGGAAGGATTTCGGTACACCGCTGCCACGCACTGACTGCTCTTTTTGAGATGGAATATTATTTATCTTCACTGTTATTACTGTAAATCTTACCTTTTGCCATTATTACAGAACGTTAAATTCTCGCAGAAATAGTGAGATAAGCGTATAGCGCAGTGGTGAACGGTGCTTTGTAATACAATAGGATCGATTGCTGGTTTAATCCAGTCCTTCGGGCTAACCAAGCCTTCCGTTCCTCACGAAGCAGCAAAATGGTACGAGACTCATTTGAAAGGATAGCAGCACTGACTCGATACATCGAGAGCGACGGTATGTCATTCTGTAAGCCAAATATGCATTGAATAACCTCTACGATGCTTGAAGAAAATGCGTGGTGCATTCCTCAGTGATGGATTAAGTGAGTAACCGCTAGTTGACTTTTTGTACTTTGAATGGGTGTGTTGCACATTGTTGGATTANTGTAAATCTTACCTTTTGCCATTATTACAGAACGTTAAATTCTCGCAGAAATAGTGAGATAAGCGTATAGCGCAGTGGTGAACGGTGCTTTGTAATACAATAGGATCGATTGCTGGTTTAATAAAGTCCTTCGAGCTAACCAAGCCTTCCATTCCTCACGAAGCAGCAAAATGGTACGAGACTCATTTGAAAGGATAGCAGCACTGACTCGATACATCGAGAGCGACGGTATGTCATTCTGTAAGCCAAATATGCATTGAATAACCTCTACGATGCTTGAAGAAAATGCGTGGTGCATTCCTCAGTGATGGATTAAGTGAGTAACCGCTAGTTGACTTTTTTGTACTTTGAATGGGTGTGTTGCACATTGTTGGATTAAAAAATATCAATAAAATTTTTACTGCATCTGGTTTTACGACGAAAGCTTCAGATGTTGGCTGGAAGTCGTGTCTCCTGCTGAGGTTGGCTTATTGCTATCAGGAGATCCCGCACTCATTATAAGCAGATATGAATAATGCCAGCCACCACTGAGCTTTTCTATAAATTTTTTAGCTTCTTATCCAGTGTCTTTTCAACTTCTGATATATTCCAGGAAACGGATCCATTAGCAGTTGACAAATGGGAAAAAGGGCAAGCATAATAGCGTGTTCGTTCCCCACCGCAGACACCTGCGGTCCGGAGTTTTGCAAATATCTCAGCATCATTGAAATCACGAAAGTGATTGCTTAGAAACGAGAAGTCGTTAATAGTGTCATTTGCTGCCTACCGCATGGTACGATTATGCACATCGCCTACTACGTCATTAAACGGACACTGTAAGCATTGATTTTTGCCTTATATACTTTATCGGTGACCTAGACATTTCAGTGATGAAATGTTTTTATCTCGATCATAAGGAAACATTTTCATCGATCGACTTACTCTTGTCGCATTACTACTCTATGTACGAGTGTTTTCTCACTTACCGCACCAGTTGAACACTCTTTGTATGCCTACGCCCAAGTGTAATCAACATTCATGCTGCAGTTGAAATCACAGGCAACAACGTATCAAAAATCTATCGGGGCACTTTGGAGTGGCATGTAGGAGATGTGAGGTGCACCGGCTCTCTCAACTTATTCCATGTTTTCTTTTCGCTTGCGAGCAATATAGCACCTCTTTATACAATCAAGGTATGGCCCTCTATAAAGCTTTTAATATCTGGGTAGTCATCATACACGAATAAATGTGTCAATGAAGCTGTCTTAGACTGATACCATGCAAACAGAGAATTGCTGGGAGATATATCCCCACGCTGCACATCGTAGCCCGACACCCAGGAACACCTCCCAGCCACGATGAGGCGGTGAACCGTTAGGAGGAACACTCCATTGGCTCAAAATATACTATATATAAGTGTAATACAATAAATGAAATAAATAATGCGATAAATATGACACAATATATGCAAACGTGTAAATACAATTATATGAATGGTGAGCAATGGGGCGGATATCACGGTGGTATTAAAAATTATTTTTAGTCCACTTCTCATCCAGAGATTTCACTTAACTTCACTTATGTCGTGTGAAGAGAAAAACTAACTCAATCTTATGCAGTTATGTCAGACATTGCCGCAATGCTTCTAACATACGAGAATTTGTAGCCTGAATTAGAGTAGCCGCTTTTGTGTAGGTTCTACAGCTGAATTCTGCTTGTTTCAACGCCACCAAAACGAATCTCGCCACTTATCATACAGCCAAATTACCATATACTGGAGATATTGTGTATTCTCTTCTTTTCACTAAATAATCTCTTACATTCCGAATTCTTCTGTTGTGGGAGGTCGTCAGCGATTCCATTTTAAGCTTTTTCAGCCGACTGTATGACTTTCACCGCTCCATGTGTAGCAATTGTGGCCTCACGTAGAAGATCCTAAAGGTGATCTTATCAAAGGTAGTACACGAGAGGGTTTGCATTGATTAACAATGCAAATATGGTGGTGAAATTCTCAATGACACACGTGAGTGGCGTACTGTTCGAAAAAAAGACCGTTTTGAGACGTACATTTAGATTCTACGCGCAGTTCATCAAACTGTTTTGGCATGCACATTGGGTTTCTGTGCACTACCCTTTTCCAGCATGAAAGTTAGTTAAGCTTAGAATTGCTCATTCAGTGAAAAATTCTACCAGAACTTCTGGACGATCTAAGCTTAATTTGAGCTAAGAATTCACTAGAAATTGATAAATATTCCGAGCTCAGATTCTGTTGTAGACCATTGGGCTCGACTTAAAGTCTGGAACAGCGGCACTCTCTCAGCCTTGTTATTCTTGATCTTGCCCTTCAGTAGATTTTATGGAAAATTTGCTAAGTAAGCCTTTAGACATCGAAACGGAAAGCTTTTTCCAAACACTTCATCAAACTCTTCGTAAATACCACCTCAAGAGGCGCAGACATTTTTTCTTCTTTTCCCTCATTAACATTGAACGTCGCCATTTGAAACGAACCTAAATTACGTCTAATAATCTTTCGTTTGTTCAGTCTTGTTTAAATCCTTGTTGCTATTCTTTCATTCAGGACCATTCTAAACTGTCTAAATCGCAGAGACTAAGATGATAATCCGTATCTCCAGTGCACGTACACTTACATCCGTGTCCTCGGTAGAAGACTTGCTCATGCAAGCAAGAAGGATAAAGTACGACGTCATCGGCCCGGCCGAGACAAGACGTCGCTACCCTCTGTTGAACCAAGCGCAAATCCTCATAAGCACACTACTTCAACCCTTCACACATTACATGCTAGAATGCAACACACCTATTCAGTGGGACACCAACAAAGCCGTGTTATTGATCAAGAAGAGTTGCCTCTACGATATCGGAAACTGCCACCCAATCTGATTTCTATTTATCGCCTTCAAACTTTTCACTCAAGTCTTCTTAAACAGAACTGAGAGAACAGTAAACGAAGGAGGCACATATGAGCAAGCGAGGTAACGAAGTGGATTGAGTACGATAGACCCGTGTAATAACAACTCACATCGAAGTATTGCGAGAGTGCAACACCTTCATCACCGCAAAAAAAGAGCTTTTGAACAAGGTGAGATAGAAGCAGTCATGGAAGCACTGGTAAGCGAGGGCAACTCCGCTTAAAGGGATTCTTCGTTAGGTATGGAAAAATTTCAGATACAGAATATTACTATGCCATAAGGATGTTAACGTCGACGTCAAAAGTGGGGTTACGCAACACGATACCATCTGACCGAAATTATTTACCATCACCCTCAAGACCGTAATGCGAACACTGGAATAGTACAGCATGGGAGTGAAAATCGGTAGTCTGCCAGCAATTATAGCATTTTCGCTTTGCTTCGTTTTTATAACACCAAACATTAGCAAGGCGGAGCAAATGTTTTACAGCTTTGATAAAGCTGGTGGAATAATTGAACTTCGACTAGATCTCATGCCCCAATCATGCCTAAGGGAGTGAATATCTCCGAATGATAAACCGCGTCTATTTAAGTCGGTACTCAATATTATAGACGATCGAGCTCTAAAACTGATGAAGAGGGAGCGAGCCGGATTGGGGAGCTCTCAGGACCATCCAGGATACAGTGAGGAAAACAGACAACAACTCCGCACAAATCTATTCGACATCAGGGTTATTCCTGTCTTAACGTATGCATCAGAACCCTGGTTGTTACCTAAGCAAAATAAAGCGTCAGTCATCGTTATTGAATGTGCAGTCGAAACGACGGTGCTGGAGACATCTTGAATCGCACAAATAAACGAAAGATTGAGGAACTCCGACCTACGTCAAGAATCAACAATCAAGGACCCCGTTCTGTAAACAAAACTGTCAAAAATAGAGTGTGTTTGGCACGTTTCTTGTCTTCATCTACGGATGAAGGAAACTGGGTGTTTAAAAAAGTTACTGCTTTTTTTAGAGATACCATGGACCTGCCTCATAAGAGGGATCCAGAGCCGCTTAGCCGCAAGCCTACGTGGCGCATCCCCAGTTGACGGATAGGGGGTTCATCGAGAACCAAAAACGACCTTTGCTTCCTTGAGACGCAGGTGGATCCAGGGAAAAAGCTCTCTGTTTCTGCTGCGCCTAAGTTGCACATACCTTCTGTATTTGCTAGGCGTATTCATGTATGTGTGTGTGGGTGCGTTTTCGCTTATTCGGATTGTATTCTACGAGCCAATTTATCCAAAAGCCTGTAATCGGTTGACAGAGAAGTATATAAGAGGCGATCAAGAGTCGTTTTCAGCAAATAAGCTCCATGTCCTCTCTGGACGAACCTGGTAAGCTATCCGTGAGTATATCCAGCCCCCGTTCATAGCTCAACATGCTATACGTGGGTATCAAAATGAACAAGTTAGAAAAAACGAGCTTTATTTCCGTGACCTCAAAAGAGCTCCCAATTTCACAGCGTTGGGTAGAACGAGTACAGAGAGGCTGATAAAATCTCGTGGCTCACGATTGGACAATGGTAGCTGCCTGGATCACGAAGAACTGTGGTGACGATCTGTACCTACAATGCACGTACACATCCATCCGAGACCTCGATAGAAGACTTCCTCATGCAAGCAAGAAGAATGAAGTACGACGTCATCGGCCTGGCCGAGATAAGGCGTCGCTATTCATTCAACGCTGTCTATGACACGGGAGCAGAAGTGTTCCTCGGAACATGCGACAGTAGAGGAGTCGATGGCGTCGGAGTTCGCGTCAACACGAATTTGTTCATGAACACGGATTCATTCGCACAACTTACAAAACGAATTAGGCCTTTTCGATTGAAGAGATGTGGAACAATAACTGCTTTGACATTCGTCGTCGTTTACGAGCCGATATCAAACTATAACGGAAAAGAAGTCGAAGCGTTCTAAATGGACTTAGAGAAGTTCAACAAAGAAGACCATACATTCTTCAACGTCATCATTGAAGATTTTAATGCTAAGACTGAAACGAAAAGAACGCCTGAAGAACGTCACACTGAGACCCACGAATTAGAGTGAAGCGAACAGGTTGAGCGGCTGTCCGAGTTAATTATGGCGACCAAGACCATTTCTTGGTAAATCGCAATTCCTGAAGCCCCACGCTTAACGCTGGATGTGGAATTCTTCCAATGGAGAGTGCCACAACAAAATAGACCACATCATAGTAAGCAAGTTTTGCCTGGCCAATGACTTGCTGTCGTCCTACATAAGTTGGGTAGTAGTTTGTTGACCCCAGAGCGGTTTAACGTTTTCTCAAACCAGAGCGTGGACTCGATCCCATGCGTTTCGCAGGGAGTATCCAGCTACTGCGCTAACGCTTTCCTCAAGGAATAGGTTGCACAAACCTGAAAGGACTAGACCGACGATCTGTGCCCACAGCGCACGCACGCTTGCCTCCGATTCCTCGATACAGATTTGATCGCGCAAGCGAGAAGGGTAAGGTAGGAAGTCATCGGTCTGGCGAAGACGAAGAGACGCCATCCATTCAATGCCGACTATGACAGCGGAGTAAAATGTTCCTCGGAACATACGACAGTAGAGGAGTCGGATGCATCGGCATTCTCGTCGACAGGAGTTCGGCGATGAAGACTGCTCATTCGATCAACTAACAACCCGAATTGAGCGTCTACGATTGAAGAAATGTGGATCAATATCGGCTTACAATACTCGTCGTTTACTTACCGCTATGAAACTATGACTTTTAAGATTGGGCAAAAAAGAACGTGTGGAGAACGTTATATTGTGATCTACGGATTAGAATGCAAAAAGCAGAATGAGCTGCTGTTTGAATTTACCATGGCGACCAAAACCATCCATGGTAAGTCACAATTCCTAAAGGCCCTCAACGCTGTACGTGGTGGTATCCCAGTGGGGAGTACCATAACGAAACAGACCACATCATAGTGAATAAAAGGTTTTGCCTAACCGACGTCGCTGTTGCCCCAAAATTCTACACGGGATCAGACCATCGCCTTCTTCGCGCAAGATTTTATTTTTCGTGAAAAGGAGAAAAAGGCATTAAATTCAAAAACCGAAGTCTCAGAACCACCATGATCTGGAGCTTATTCAATTCAATAGTTCGCTGTTAGAAAAATGCTGTTGTTTATAACACTGGCGAAAAATGCAATGGGCTTATTCAACATCTTCACGTTGGCGCTATGAAAGCAGAGAGTTCTAAAGTCACCAAGAGACGCCCATCTTTAGAAACACGCGAGCTGATACGCCAACGTGGAATTGCACGAGCTGCAGGCAACCGCGAACTAACGTCCGAACTTGCAAAACGATGCAGACATTCGATAAAAAAAGATCTTAAAGAGAGAAGAGCAGCAGTAATAGTTTGAGCTGCAGGGGCTGGGAAAAGCATTTACAGTGCCCAACGAATCGAGTTAAAAAGGCTTTTGACTCAGCTGATACAGAGAGGGTCACGGAAGCCCTGTACATCCAAGGCATTTTTGCTCAAAACGTAGAGATTCTTTATGAGCTTCTTAAAAGTTTCACAGTCAAAATATCACCACTCTACAAAGATGGTAACATTGACATCAAAAGAATGCTTAAGCACGCTGAATATCGCTGAATTGTTTACCGCCACCTTCAACAACATTATGGGAACACTTTAAATAGAAATAAAATATGAGTAACAACCAATGGCCGATAAGTATACCGTTTTTACTTCGCTGACGACGTCGTTCTTATGAGAGCAACAAGTACTAGCCGGGTTGAACGCACGCCATCCGACATTGACAGTGGTTGTGGAATAATTGGATTTTGACTAAATCTCCCCAAAACCACATTCGTAAAGAATCGACTGATTTCATATGTATCATTAACAATCAAGCGAATGAATATTTGTAAATTATCCAGGTATGCATCACAAAGCTGCAAATTTCCATTTACTGCCTAATAATTTTTTATGGCAGGGTATGATATGACATAAATGTGTATGACAACCGATGGACAAGAGCCGTTAGCGACTGGATTCCTGTGGTGTTAAACGGACTGAAAAAAGACTACCGACTCGATGGTCGGAGTTCTTCACAAAGAGTCTTGAAGAAAGATGTGATGATCGACGAGTGCCTACAGCGAGCACAACCTTTGGACACGACAGGGAAAAGTAGAAGATTTACTGGCACTCGCTCGAGTCACTCGACAATCAACGGGACTACAGGAAAGACAGGTGATTATGTGACATAACCATAGTGTTGCTGAGATATCTGCAAACTCCGGACCGCAGGTGTCTGCGATGGGAAATGAACGCGCTATTACACTTTCCGGACACTAACGCGTGATTTATACCAACGTTTTAGCTTAACTGGGTTTATGCTGATTTGTGCTCTTTAGATCAGTTCTATTGACGCGTAATTGCTAATAGCGCCCATAGGTCAATGACACAGCTGAGACATAGGCGAAACGAAGGGCTAGCATGGTGTGGCGGTGAACGCTTTAGTCGCCAGAAACGCTGATTGATCGTACGTTCCTCACCGCAGACACAGTTCTGACC